GAGAGAGAGAGAGAGAGAGAGAGAGAGAGAGAGAGAGAGAGAGAGAGAGAGAGAGAGACTTTAAAGAAAAAAGTTTGTTTAGAATATCAAAATGTTCAAAGTAGTGAAAGCCTTATCCTGTTGGGATATTAAACTGTTATTTTTGGGGTTTTAATAGAGTTTGTTGACATGTCTTAAGAAGGTCATTCATGAGACCATGAGTGTGTGGACAATGCAACCAGTTAAAGGGTTTACAATAAGACATGCACAAAAAAAAAACTGAACAACCAGTGGCTATTACACTTTCTACGTTATGGCATTTCCAGAAAAAAAAATAGTTCTTATGCCTCATGTGTCTTTTCCCATGTGTTGATCAGAAGTTGTAATCTTGTATGTTTTGAAAATGAATCTAGAGTGAAGGGTGAAGTAAAATATTTTAATTTTCTATGTCATTAACTCAGAGTTTAAAAAGTCTGCAATTATAAAGTGCAAAATAAAGAAATGAAACTCCTAAATACTTATTACTTTAGCAAATGGATTGGTCATTTCCCACCTGAGACAATAAGTATAGGTGTACTCCAACTTACCACTGGAGGGAGGTAAAGATTTACTATATAATGCACAACAGTTGTAGCACTGAGCTCTGTTGACCATTTTACTGCAAACCTAAACTGTTGCAGTCATTTTAAAGCAAATCATACTTAAGCATACACACAATAATAATATTTCTCACTGCTCCCTCTTAACAAAAATATACAAATTAGACATAATTATTTTAACAATAACATTATAATCATTGAGAAGCAAACTTTTTATGAATCGAGCTTTTTTACGAGCGTCCTTGAATGCAACATCACTTCTTCTAACCAACGGTGGGAGGAGCTTCAGTCAGGATGGGGCATAACAAACATGGCGTGGAAAGGATGTGTTGTCAAGTGGGCTAAAGCTGAGTTTATTAAACGCACAGATAGTATTTCACGAAGCTCAAGGTAGGCAAACAAAGCTTCGCTCCGTTCGCTGTGTTTGGATAAACAATATTAACGTTGACAGGATGTGTGTTCGTGTTTTGTCCCATAATTATCATGTGAACTTACTCAACCGAGCTGTATTGGTTGAGCTTTTAAGGATGATTTGTTTACTGCCGAAAATTGTTTGCGCTCTTAATGTTATCAATCTGTATGAACAGCTCTAAAACTGCTGTGTTAGCCAAAGTTAACGTGGTTGTAAGCCGTGCTTACATCTTGTTTTCTAAGCATTATCGCTATAAATGCTGCAGTTCTGTGTTGCTGGCGGATCCCGTCCATGCAAAGAACTACGATCAATGTTGTGTTCAAGTGTTCTTTTCAGTGCCACAATGACAATAAAGATTTATCTATCTATAATGACACTTACATGTTTGAAGGTGCCAAGCCCAACCTGCCCGGGGAAACAGAGTTCGACACAACATCAGCTGAGATGATTTAAGGCAGAGATGCCCAAAGTGGCGCCCTTGGGCCAAATTTGGCCCGCCAAACCATTTAATTTGGCCCACTAGCAGATATCCTGGTTACTAGATTGTAATCTCCTGTTTTATGTAGAAATACTAT